AATGAGACCTATATATATATATATTTTTTTTTTTGGAAGGTGGGGAAGAAAAGATGTATCTGCATCCTATTTAAAAGGAAGGACTTCAAGCACATTCTAGAATAAGCATGAATTCAGCACTCCATCTCCCATCCCCTCAACTCATGATGGCTCCAGAGAATACTCAAGTTAGAAAGACTCTGCGGTCTTAACCTCAAGTTAGTAACTCAAGACCTTCTTCCAATCCATCCAAAGAGGTTCCGACTCCAACTTGGGAGTCACTTTTCAGTATTAATAGACCCAGATCTTTATCCTTTTACCACAATGACTATTAACCACTGGCACCTTTTCTGTACACCCCAATTGATGAAGAATCCTGTTGAGATGGCCTGAAGCAAAAATACTCTCCAACTTGTATGACTTCATGTTCCTCTCTTGGGTCATATGCTGATTAAGCGGAGGCAGAATCTGTGTCCTGTCTGCTTTGGAACATCAAGAGTACTTGATATAGAAGGTACTTGATAAACACTTGTTAAATTTTGTTTGTTTTTTCTGAAACCTTCCTTTGGAAAATGTTAACGTAAAACTTTATTTCCCTCCTTCCAAGTTAGTATGTCTGTTTGAAATCTTGGTGTAGCTGTTTCATGTCTATGTGCTTTTTTGTGTGTGTTTAATTGCATTTTAGGTTTTGGGGTACATGTGAAGAACATGCAAGATTGTTGCACAGATACACACATGGCTGCGTGATTTGCTGCCTTCCTCCCCTTCACCTATATCTGGCATTTCTCCCCATGCTATCGCTCCCCAACTCCCCACCCCCAACTGTCTCTCCCCTATTTCCCCCCAACTGACCCCAGTGTGTGATGCTTCCCTCCCTGTGTCCATGTGTTCTCATTATTCAACACCCACCTATGAGTGAGAACATGTGGTGTTTGATTTTCTGTTCTTGTGTCAGTTTGCTGAGAATGATGGTTTCCAGGTTCATCCATGTCCCTACAAAGGACACGAACTCATCGCTTTTGATGGCTGCATAATATTCCATGGTGTATATGTGTCACATTTTCCCTGTCCAGTCTATCATCGATGGGCATTTGGGTTGGTTCCAGGTCTTTGCTATTGTAAACAGTGCTAAGTTTTTTAAAAGAAAGAGTTTTTTTTTTGCTCAGTATCACAGAACGAAAAAGAGAATTTTAAAAAGTAACAGAACTAGCATAAAAAGGATGCCTAGTGAGAATTTTTTTTTAATGACAAATGTATTACATGCTTAATTTGGTTGAGAAATGTTTATTGTAAAAATGAAGTTTATAACAAAAGCAAAAAATTATTTTATAACATTCTGGTATCACTACACCTGAGTTTGATGCCAGCATGGTTTAAAAGTATTTGTATTCAAAACAGACTGCTTGCCATTGATTCAATAAAAAGATTGAAAATCGGTTGCCTAACTCATAAAATAAACGTAACTGGCCACAATATCTAATCTCATGGAATGAAAAATTTTTTAGGGACAGGTGCAGTGGCTCACGCCTATAATCCCACCTTTTTAGGAAGTCAAGATAGGAGCCAACACCAGCCAAGCCAACATGGTGAAACTCCGTCTCTACAAAAAAAAACACAAAAAATTAGCCAGGCGTGATGGCATGTGCCTAGGGTCCCAGCTATTCGGGAGGCAGAGCAGGCTCAACGTGCATTATATGGAAGTATCCATTTATGTAAAATAAGTCTCAAGGCAGTAAGTACTGGGCCACAGCAGTTTGCTCCACCAAACTGTAATTTCCCAACAGCTCTGGCTTCCCCTTTCTCACTTCCTGTCTCAAACAATTTGGAGTCACATCAACCCCTCTTACAATCTATCCAAAGAGGATCTGACTCCAACTTGGGAGTCACCACTTTTTAATATTAATAGACCCAGATCTTTATCCTTTTACCGCAATTGCAATGACTACTAACCACGGTTACCCCTTCTGTACGCCCCAACTGAGGAAGGATCCTCTGTTGAGATGGACTAAAGCACTCTCCAAGGCACTTAAGACTTCATACTCTCCAGCTTGCATGACTTCATTTTCTTCTCTTGGGTCATATGCTGATTAATAAGCTCAGAGGCAGAATCTGTGTCCTGTCTGCAGTGGAACACCAAGAGTGCTTGACATAGTAGGTACTTGACAAATACTTGTTAATTTTTTTTTAAAGAAAGAGAATTTTTTAAAGTACAGAGCTAATATAGACCAAGATGCCCAGTGACAATTTTTTTAAATGACAAATGGTGTATTGCATGTTTAAGTTGGTTGAGAAATGTTTATTGTAAAAATGGAGTTTATAACAAAAATAAAAAATTATTTCATAACATTCTGATATCACTACACCTGAGTTTGATGCCAGCATGCTTTGAAAGTGAAGCTGACATGAGTTTTCTAAAGGATGTCACAAAGCTATAGTATGAAGAATGTAATAATATTTTAGATAACAATAAAACTTAAATATTTAGATGATGTACATGAGAAATCACACCAAGTTCTCTTAATTAGGTTAACATAAGATAACCACATCTCAATTTCCAAGCTTCCAAAAATAGGTTAAAAAATTATTTTAGTTTTTGTTGCTATTAAAAAAAACACATTTGGAGCAGGGATCCATTATTTCAGGTTTTAAGAAAAATGTTATGATTATTAGATTATTATCAATGATTATGCAGTTAATGTCAAATACCTTCTACTTTCTTGGTTTTTTTTAACATTCAGTTCTTTCATTAGATTAACATGCTAGCTTTTCCTGTCTTTTTGTTCTTGGATAAGTGTATGATTTATTAGACCCGGTGCTCAATTTATAAGCTTTTCTCATTTGAACTTGAAGAAACTGCAAATATTTATAGAAGATGAATCACATGTATTTGTTCCTGAAAAATGTCAGAACACAGCACTCAAATCAAATGCCGAACAGAAGCTATTCCCTAACACTACATACTGTGGCGATTTAATTTCCACTGACATGTTTTCCTAAACCATTTTTCCCACTACAATAATTCCTGAATCAAAAATTACTGAAATCTTTATGTATTCACATGTTACTAAGTTATAGAAATCTATACAATAATAAAGAATTTAAGAAATAATTACACCTTTAAAAACACAGTTGAAGTGATTCAGTTAATCTTACATTCTAAGAAATACATAGGTTATGTTCAAACTGGTTTTCCTTGATTTTATTTTACTCACTTGCTACCTTAGGGTGCTTGAACTCCACAATAAGATCTCAAGTCTAGAAAATTAGAATGCAGAGAAATGAACCAACAGAGCATATATTCCATAAGGGCAGGGGCCATGGCCAGTTTTACCTGTTAATATATCCCTTCTGTCTAACACAGTCACACTCAAATTTGTGTTGGCTCAAATTTAAGGAATGACCATGGGCAGGAGGGCAAAACGGCAGAAACTTTTGAAGGCAGTTTGGCAATACACATAAAAGGCCTTACATTTCACATACCCTTTGACTCATAAGTCTACTTCAATGATCATCCTAAAGACAATTATGTATGTGAGCTCAGGGTCTAGAACGTTCTAGAATCCAAGTACTTAATCCAAGTACTTAAGTACTTGGATTCTAGAATGTTCTAGGCCCTGAGCTCTTTAAAGTAAAACCCAGCTAACAACCCAACATCCTGACTAGGGTACCTAGAGTGCCTCCTTCATCATAAATACATGCTAAATGGCTGCCACATACAAATCAGAGTTCTGCATGTTTCACCCCAACCCCCAATGAAAGTCTTCAACACTCACGGCCACCTTGTGAGGTAACAGAACTGTTCCCGTTTCTCATCTCATCTGGTGACAAAAAGTGAGGCACAGGGAGGTTAAGTAACTTATGGAAAGGAGGAGCAAGGTTTCAATCTGGCTGCATAATCCTAGAGCCCCAGCAGTGCCTTCAAAACAATGTTGTCCAATAAATGGATTTCTCAACTCTCCTGAACTTTCACCCATCCCCTTTTCTGATATTCCTTTTAGGGGATCATCATCTAAAATTCTCATAGGCACACCCCCACCAGCTGGCAGATCTCACTGATTCTGGTGGTAAACAAATAGCAAGATCTGTGATAATCTTTCAAATACAAAATTACTAAAATATGTTTTTCCCAATGTACTACCATTGTCCTAATTCCTCATTCTACATTCATAATACTTGCTATTAGCAGAACTGTTATTTCATGGTTTGGAAAGACAAAAGTGAAGTCCTAAATAATATAAACAAAATGAATTTTACTTCTGGTGACATGATTTTTTTCTTTAAAATTTCTATGTCCTGCCCAGGTGTAGTGGCTTATACCTGTAATCCCAGCACTTTGGGAGGCAGAGGCAGGCAGATCACTTGAGGTCAGGAGATGGAGACCACCAGCCTGGCCAACATGGTGAAACCCCATCTCTACTAAAAATATAAATATTAGCCACACCTGGTAGCAGATGCCTGTAGTCCCAGCTACTCAGAAGTTGAAGTGGGAGAAGCGCTTGAACCTGGAAGGTGGAGGTTGCAGTGAGCTGAGATTGTGTCACTGCACTCCAGCTTGGGTGACAAAGTGAGACTACTGCCTTTTAAAAAAAAAAAAAACACCTTGTGTCCAGCGGCCTATAAGTACAGGGACTGGCTGACCATCACCCGCAGAAATGAAAAGGCAGACTGACTGGAATTAGGCCAAGTGATTCCAGGTCTGTGGACAAGGAATTCCTGAGCAAGTACACAAATCCTGGACTTCCAGAGGTGCTCATTTGGGAGCAGTGAAGTATAAAAATTCAAAAAAAAAAAAAAAAAAAAAAATTCACAATAGGTACCAGGCCCTCTGGGTCAGGAGCTGCGAGAAGTAGTTGGGTAAGTAGCTTGAAAGGTGGCACCTGAGAGGCAGCAAAAGTGGTGGAGCCTACAGGTTTCAGCCTAGTGAAGCTTCTGGTCAAGTCTTTTAGCTTTTAGGAATAAACAAGTATAAGCAAACAAAAGTAACCTAGAGAAAATACATCTAAAATCCAATGAGCAAGCAGTCAAGATTTTGTTTTATTTTATTATGGCTAGAAAGACAGTGTTATAGCCAAAATCGGCAATGACACTAAAGAAATCCTCTGTGCTTTTCAATATGCAAATATATTTCTTCCAAGAGCTGCCCTGGTGTGATTTCAAGAGTTCATGTTAACTTCTTTTCTGGAAACTTCCTTTTCTTAGTTGTTGTATTCTTGAAGAGCCTGGGCCATGAAGAGCTTGCCTAAGTTTTGGGCAGTGAACTCCTTGATGTTCTGGCAGTAAGTGTTTATCTGGCCTGTGCATTTGAGAAAGAGACAGAGCCATAATGTTCCACAGATTGTAAAATGATCCAGAAAGCTAGTCAAACAGGAAAATCAGCATAAAACAGAATCACCTGTATATCGTTTTGAATCCAGAGTTTACTTTTCCATAAGGGATAAGAAATACGAGCTCTCATGAAAATAAGCTACTGTCCACTCTTAATTACATGGAGAATAAAGAAAAACTACTCCTCAAAGGGTTATCAGTCCTAAGAACATATTAGCTCTCAGTCAAAAGGACTAAGTAGATCAAATCAACGTACAACCAAGAAAACAGAGAAAACAGCACTGACTAGACTTAACAGGTAGAAAAGAGATACTAACAATAAAATCACAGAACTGCAAACCAACCAGCCCCATTTGACTTAGATGTGAATAGGTGTAGCAGGTTTTCAGTTTGTGCTTTGGAAATGTTAAGGGGATTTCCCCTGAACTAAGGCAGAGTAAGAGTAGAGAGTTCACTTGAAGAAAGAGCTCCAGCACTGCTTTTTACGTCTTAAAACTAATGATCTAATCACATGCAACAATTACATGCTTCTTGAAAATATAAGGATTTCAATTCTGTTTGAATTGGACCTCAGGGAAGGAATTAGGTCTCACTTCCCAAATTTAATTTGCATGTACACTAGAAAGTGTTAAGGGAATTTGGAATTTGTTCCCACAATACAAATGTATCAACAGAATTGAGAAACTGCCAATCAGCTTTTGAGTAGGATTTTCATTCTGATAAAATCTTCTCACAGTCAAGTATCTGACTGAATCAAATGGCATTTAACATTTCTATAAGATTATAGTCAAATAAGGGCATGAATATCATATATTTAAAATCAAATCCTTGCACAGGACACAGGACCTCTACTGCTTAAAAGTGGTGTTAAATATTAAGTATACCCAGAAAAAGTTCATTCAGAAATACATTTGTGCTGCCTCAATTTAAGTCAAAGTGAGGGAAATAATTTCCCAAATTCAAGTCAAATACCAACTGTACAGTGCTGGGCTGGGAGAGGAATAGTAAGAGGCCTAAGCAAAGGGATCTTATACATTAAGACTGCAAATATTTTTTCTTGGTTTCCATGAAAAAGGACTCATTTTAGAAAATTTATAATGCCATTTCAAAAATACTTCAGAAACGCACAGAGTGAAGCATTCAAAGAACCTGGACAAAAGAACAAACTCTTACAAGTTCGTAGATTTCAGATATTACAGGTGCTAGATTCAAATTCATCCTGCAACCATTTCAAATACACTAGCTTTTATGGCACGCTTTTCTCACTGTCTTCTGCTTCCTAAGAAATGGACAAAACCAGCCAGGTTTTGCACTAGGCAACAATACCTGCAATGAGCAGCGAGTCCATCCTGGCAGGGGGCTGTGGCGGTTTGAAGAGTTTGGACAGGTCCTCCTCAGGGAGCGGGGGTTCTCCTCGGCTCTGGCGCTGCATATTCTCCTGCTGGCGACGCTGCTGATACTAATATTGAAAGAGAAAATGATTTGGTTATTTTTCTCCATCAAAGGAGAAAAAAAAAGACCTCCTTCCCCTACACGACCAGCAGAAATCCACTGCTCTGAATTCCAACCTCGGTTTTATCGTGGCAACATTTGGAGAAATCTGCTTCTAAGAAGCTAAATATGCTAACAGTAGAAGAAAATTCCTTTGTTGCAAACTCTAGTGCCACTCTGGGCTCTAAGAGTCTATAACTAATAGTGTTTCTGAAAACAAAACTCGTTATGTAAGTAAAAGGGGGCTCAAAGGGAAAGAAGCTCATGATTACTAAGGTAAAGACAGTTGCTTTACCATTTTTCACAATGGGGTAATTAATGATTCATACTAATTTTAATGACTATGTAATGAACTACCACATTGGGAATGCTTTCAACTTTACTCCTATTGACCTAAAATAACAATACGGGTGATGTTATTACTGCTATGTTCACTATTGTTCCTACTCTTTTTTGTTTTTGAGACGGAGTCTTACTCTGTTGCCCAGGCTGGAGTGTAGTGGTGCCATCTCAGCTCACTGCAACCTCCACCTTCAGGATTCAAGTGATTCTCCAGCCTCAGCCTCCCGAGTAGCTGGGATTACAAGCATGCGCCACCATGCCCTGGGTTAATTTTTGTATTTTTAGTAGAGACAGGGTTTCAGTACGTTGGCTAGACTGGTCTCGAACTCCTGATCTCAAGCGATCCACCAGCCTCAGCCTCCCAAAGTGCTAGGATTACAGGCGTTAGCTAATGCACCTGGCCTATTACTACTACTCGTAACAGATAATTGTCTGTACCTTAGCTCTACAACTAAGGATGGATACTATTAACAGCTCAGATAATGCTTCGAATACCTTGAGACTCTGGATTCCTATGATTCACTGAAGAGAAAGTAGGATATATATAAAGGTAAACATTAACTCTAAACTTACAGATCAATTACAGTAAAAGCTAACAGCTATGCCTGCTTGCAACAGTGAAGCAAGTAATATCTCATACAGCCTTAAAATGCCAGGTAATTAAAAACCAAGGTAGTTTAGTAAAAATGTAGTCTTTGGATTCCTAAGAAAATCAAGGGAAGTGACAATTCTTTCTAGTGAAGGAAAGTAACTTGCTTTATGATGATTCCTGTATTCATTATGGGGTACTCATGGGAGACAAATATTCCATTTGATCCCCTGGGTGAGTCCTTAACCTACAGGAAAAACCAGCAGGAAAATGAAATCCAGCTGAGATGATTTTCCCCTCTAGTTTATCAGACATGTGTAAGCACTCCCATCTTTTCAGTCAAAAAAAAAAAAAAAAAAAATACTGATTTACATGTTTTCTCAATTCTAAGTTGGTAGAAACAAAGGACTTTAAATTTCACTATATACTGAACATGAACTCTCATATTTAGAAAAAATTTAAATATAACATTCTCAGAACCACGTAGTTGTGCTTAGAATTCTGTATTTCACACGGCCTGTTTAAAGTACATTTTAATGGACAGAGTAGTCATATATAAATACTAGTTTCACAGATAAACATTCTGGAATCAACTTATCTATGAATCAAATGCTAAGAACATTTTAGAGCAATATAGTCCAAATACAATATTCCAGGAAACTGTGAAAACCACGTGGCCTGCAGGCAACAAGAATAAAGAAAAGGTTAAATGGCCACAGCCCTAGATGTGTGTAAATGACAATATTCAGATAATTCTAGGGTTTTTGTCTGTATCATACTATCTACTTCACAGCAGTTGGTCTATTATTTCCTATCAAAATTGGTTGTTCTTAATCACAATTGCTCAGTTTTTCAAATGAACTGAAGATTGCTAACTATGCTGCAATGAGCCACTGCCAAACCAATTATAGTTAGTAAAGAAATGAGCTGTGACATTCTGGAATCTCTTGGCTTCTGATTTTCTCAATAAATGTATCTCTTATTTGCATAACCTTGGCATTACAATCTGAGCTTAATATACTAGCTCTCTTTAACACAGGTATTTTTTAGTGTAACATGTAAATTAATATCTTAGGAACATGCCATATAAAGAATAATCTTTTTAAAATATGATATAGAGTAACTAGCTAACAGTCAGTGCTTTACCAAAGATAATTTAGGTCATTTTGAACATGACTCTTGAAATACATGAAACTTAGAAATACATGTTTGTTGAATTTTTCCACAATACCAACCTGATGTTTCTGCTGCTGCTGTTTACTAGTATTCCTCATGTATGTGTTGTATTTAACTATATCCTGGCTCATTTCATCCACTCTGTCCATCAACAACTGTAGATTCTTCCCCAAATGATTGCTGAAATGTAAAGTAAACATACTGACAGGTCTTACTTTAAGGTACAGCTTTGCTGCTGCTCTAAACAGTTTTAAGAGATGAACTTGAACTGGCTTTTGCTAAAAGAATGAGAGCACACATATGCATAAAAGCAAGGGCAGAGGAAAGAATCTAAGTCAACTTGTTACCAAACTTCCATACTGAACTTCCCACTATAATCTCAGGGATACCTGAAATAGCTCAGTTTCTTATCGTGAGAGCACAAGCATGTTAGGGTACGAATGGTTAAACATACCTAGTGAGACATCTATAATGCATATTTTTTATACCAAGTTCAATATTCCCAAACTCTTTTCCTTAACTTATCCCTGCCCAAATGCATTCCATAACATTTAAAATCAGTCGTCATAGGAAAGAACCATACAGATTATAATATCTGTCACATGATTTCCCTATCTAGAAGGTTTTAAATGAGCAATGGTAGTATTTCTTCTACAAAATCAGATGAAAAGACTCCTTTCTTCTTACCTTTTCTAGAATCTGTAGTACAGTCTTTCATATTTCTTATTCTCTCCAGAAATTTCTATTGCAGCTCAGTTACTGACATCGCTTTATAAAGTGATGTGATGACTGACACAATGGCAACCATATTCACTGATTTCTGCCTGCAACTTACCTGCTACCACGGTAATGCCTGGACAGCTACTATATATATATATATCTATATATTTAAAACAGCAAGCTGCTAACAGGTAGTACCCAATCATTAACTACAAACTGATATTTACTAAACTCCTATTATGTGCCAGCCTTAGTACTAGAAAACAGGGAGACAACAGTGAATGACACATATATGTTCCATATCTTCATTGATCTTATTACTGATTAGGGATGGAGGAGAAAGGGAAGGGGGAGGTGAAGAGACACTTAATTTAGATAGCATGATCAGAATATCTCTTTGAGAAGATGACAGACTGAAAGTGGAAGATGAGTCAGCCATGCCAAAAATATTCTAGGCAAAAGTAAGTACAAGTGCTGAATGCCTGAGATGAGCAAGAATTAGGCAGATTCGATAAAAACAAGAGGCCTGTCATGGCTAGAGCACAGTGATTAGGTCAGGCAGGCGAGACAAGCACACACAGGAAGCTCATTAGCACCATACAACCTCCCAGCAATGTAGTTTGTTGTGAATGAGACCTCTCAACTCCAATGTGAACGATACCCTGGAGTTTAATTTTAAAATGATCACTCTGTTGTTATGCAGATGGACTAGAAAGCAGAAACCAGGAGACTGGTTAAAAGTCTATTGTGGGGCATTGGCGAGGATGCGGAAAAATGAAAACACTCATACACTGGAATGGGAAGGTAAAGTGATACAGTTACTGTGGAAAACAGTTTGGTGGTTCCTCAAAAAGCTAAGCCAAATTACCATAGAACCCAGTAATTCCACTCTTATGTATATACCCTAGAGAATTAAAAATAATACTCACATAAAAACTTGTACATGTATGTTAGTAGCTACATTATTCTTAATTAGCCAAAAACTGGAAACAATCTAAAATTCCTTCAAATGATGAATAAATAAAATATTGTATATCTGTACAATAGAATGTTATTTGGCCTTAAAAATGAATAAAGTACTGATGCCACAACATGGATGAACCCTGAAAACATTTACTAAGGGAAAGAAGGTAGACACAAAAGGCTGCTTATTGTAGGACTCTTTTTTTTTTCTTTTTTACAGACAGTTTCACTCCATCATCCAGGCTAAAGTGCACTGGTGCAACCTCCACCTCCCAGGTTCAAGCAATTCTCATGCCTCAGCCTCCCCACTAGCTGGGGCTACAGGTAAGCGCCACCATACCTGGCTAGATTTTTTGTATTTTCAATAGAAACGGGGTTTCACCATGAACTCCTGACCTCAAGAGCTCCTCCCACCTTGGCTTCCCAAAGTGCTGGGATTATAGGAATGAGCCACCACTCCTGGCCAGGACTCTATTTTTAAAATATTCAGATTAGGCAAATCCATAGAGATATAAAGTAACTAGAGGCTGCCATTAGGGGAATGGGAATGACAACTTAATGGATTTGGGTTCCTGTTCAGGGTGATGAAAATGTTCTGGAGTTGGTAATGGTTATACAACATTGTGAATATACTAACAATGACTTAAGTATACATTTGAAAATGGTTTAAATTGTCATTTTTTTCTCTGTTTTAAAAACTGTACCTCTGGAAAATAATCTATCAAGATATTACAGAGAGAAATCATGGTGACTTGAACTAGGATGGTGGCAGTGAGCACATAGAAAAGTGAGCAGAGCTGAGAGAGTCTGAAGGCAGGGCTGGCAATCTTTATTTCATAGGGGGCATCAGAGAGGAATGGAGGGTGACTCCCAGTCCTCTGGCTTGAGCAGCCAACTAGCTGTTATTACATTTACAGAGAAGGGAACGACTGAGAAAGAAACAGTTTGGGAATATTGGGAATGAAGAAAAATAAATCCAACTAAAATATGGATTCCATCAGTAACCTCAAGAACTCAGAACGTTTTCGCTCTTTCTCAAACAATGGAAGGAGCACAGAACTAGGGTGTGTGTGAGTAAACTTTTTGTTCCCAGGCTGGCACTACCTAGATAACCTTGGTCCAGTAACATGGCCTAATGATTTCATCTCTCAAGGAATCAAGTGCTTCTTTCATATTTATTTTATTGTGTTGCAACTTTTTTAAGCACCTCTAACTTTAAAACATTTCTTCTTCTCTGTATACAATGTATTTGCTTCTGTTTTATCCTAATTTCTTAATCGTCGATTTAAATTCACTCAGACTTAAGTATCTGAACAGGGCAAGCCTGGGGAAAAGAGGAAGACAACAGTCAAAGTGCAATGACTTGAAAACACACTGCAAGTTTGCAATCTATCCTAAGGACAGTGGGAGCCAGCTAAAGATTTTAACCAAAGGAGTATTATGAGCATCTAATTTGCATTTAGCAAGATCATTATAATTTTGGAAGAAGAAAAGGTCAAAAACAGGAAGTGAGGAAACTGTGAAAGTAATCAGGAAGAGAAACAAGGTCCTAGACTAAGGCAGTAAAAGTCACAGGAGTAAGACAAAATCGCCCCACGAGTACATGTGTGAGAAGACAGACCCCGAGGAACACTAACAGAGATGAGCACAAGAGGGTTCACTGTGGAGAATGAGAGGAAACCCAGAAGAGCTATAGTTTCACAGACTCCTAGGAAAGAATTTCAGGAAGAAGGCCTTATCAACACATTGCATGCTGAAGAGTCTAAAATACTCAGTGACATAGGGACATCAAAGTCTTCTGTGACTCTGGAGGGAGGTCTTACTACATACAATGGGTGGAATACCACAAGCTGTTGGTGATCAGTGGGAAATGAGAAAACAGTGACATCAAAATTCTATCGAGAAGTTTGATTATGAAACAAACAGAAAAATTCAGAAGACAAAAGGAGATGGATAATAATGACATAAGATCAAAAGGTGTTCTTTTCGTAAGATTTTTTTTGACATTGGCATACGTAAAACAAGTTAAAATGTCCTTGTTTTTAGGAGATGCAAGCTGAAGTATTTAGGGGTTAAAAGTCAGGTCTACAATTTTCTTTCTGATGGTTCAGAAACAAAAAATAGTACTTGTGTATGTAGATAGTACAAATGTGGCATGATATACAATTGGTGAATCTAAGTAAAAGGTTTATGGATGTATGTTCATTATATTTTTCATTCAAATTGCCTGGAAATCGAACATGTAAAAATAAAATTTTAATTGAAGAACAAGCCTATAAAGATAATAAAAAATAACTAGCATAAAAAGAAATGGAAGATCTATGAAGGAAGGAAGGAATACACCAACCTCATGAAGTCCTGAGCAGGCAAGATGACAAGCGGCACCGGCCTCAGGCTACTGATCTTTTCATTTTTACCAATGAGCAATGTGAGGCCCAAAGGGCCACATTAAGTATAAGAAATGTCATTAGCTACAGGATTAGTTGTTAAGTCATTTGTCATTAATTGCAAAAGGAAATCAGAGAAAGAAAAGATCATCACCAATGCTGTGGCTAGGAGGTTAAAAGGAAAAGTGGTGACAGCAGGGAAAAAACAACAGCAAAAAAGAGGTACTACCATATGCAGAAAAAATCTACTATTTATACCCAGACCTTAAATCTTGGAGGCTGGTTACAGTAATTAGAAAGGCACTACTAAAATAGACCCACTGTTTCTACCCGAAAAGTCTGTAATATAAAGTACTAATATTATCTGCCGCAAGTATATGAAGTTATTGTGAAAGAACACTGATACAAGTACAAATATGTGGACTTCAAGGATTTCATTAACTTTTATATTATGATGATGCTCTTCAGAAACATAACCAATGAGACACACTTAAAAAAAAAATCAGTGTATTACAGACCTCAAAAGGGCAACAGAAATTAACACTGACAGAAAATCAGACCCCTACCAACACCAATTTTGTGAGGATCTTTTCAGCACCAGTTTAACTAGGATGCTGAAACAGGAACTTACTGTTAGGAGTTTCAGTAACATTGCCTTTTCTTTTCTTGCCAAGCAAATAAAGAACTGAAAACAGATAACTTAAACAGATGTGAACGAGGACATGAAGTGTTAAGTCTGCTCTGGCTACAGTATCAGTTTATGCTTATAATCCTTAATGTATGATGCCCACCCTTAGTTTATTTTTTTTTAAAGAGGAAATAAAAACAGAATTGTTTTACACATGTGAAAAGCTGAACGCCTGTGCTACACATTTTTAAAAACTAATAAAGCTTGCTATGGAATAACTATTACTAGGACTTCCATCTAATAAAATTAAAATAAAAAATTAGATTTTTTAACAAAAGCAAATACAGTAAGTTTTAGACGTAGCACAGAACAAACTTATCAGGCACATCAAAGAAACTGGTGCCCATGTATAGGCTGTGAAAGGAAAGACCAAGTTAAGGACCTGCGTAGGAATGATTTCTGATGAGGTTTCTTACAGAAACTTTTATGGCAACTGGCCTGAGCCATCATCACACAACTACTGTTAGAAATTAAAAACTGAGATGTATAAAACGTATCTGTCTTTTAAAATAACATAATCGATTTGGTTCAATGTAAGAGTCTACTAGCACAAAAGCACTGCTTCAAGGTTGCTTCATTTTTTTTCCCCTCCTAACAGGAACATCAATTTACACTTTAAATAATTTCACATGGAAAGCAAAGAAATGGGGTCTCTTTTCCTCATTTACATAAAAATACAGAAGACAAAAATTATAATAAAATATTTATCTAGGTCCCAGTTGCTAGGACAAACTGAGAAAGACTTCTTGGCTATTATAAATGACGCTTTGGACAAATGGACATTATAGAGCAGCTCACTGGTAATGTTAAAGCACCGTAAGGGATCTATTTGTTTTGTATGCTCTATAAAGAAGACTGGGAAAAGGTGAAGACATGAATTATATAAGCAAAAGCTTTCGTGCAGTAAATTTAAAATTATTATATGACTATATACTTAATACATCAAATTGTAACCTTGTATGCTGAAAAAGGTTCTTAGCTAAACACTTTAAATACAGGTGTGCCGAGTCTGTTTGTAAAAGCAGTAAAGAAAAATATGACCTTCTAAAACAGACAAATTAAAGGACTATTATGAATATATGTTTGCAGTCAAACAGTACACTCTTTGGTGCCAAATTAGCCTTGCAACCTGGCTGTGTTACTTAGCACTCCATTTACATTCATCGTTCATCTCCCTGACCTATAAAGACTTTCCAGTGGCCTTTGTGATCAGTTAATGCAATGGAAGGTGGCACTTCAACCACAGTCCTACCCGTGCTACAGCATGGAGAAGAACATTGATATCTCTGGTCCCTCAGAGTTCATTCCACTTGCCTTGTATTGAGGAAGTACAAAGTCTGTACTTTTTTTTTAAGTCTCTATTCAGGATAACTAGAAATCTGATAATAATTGAGTCAGCTCGAAACTAACTGCTTAAGAAAATACAAATTGTTTCTTTCAGCCAACAAACATATATTGATTTATTACCTACTCTGTCCATTTAATTTCATCCTACAGGTCTGCTACTAGCTTCCTTCCACCACACACAAAATAGTCACTAACATAAGGCTCAAAGGGCATTTAAGAGGAGCTATATGTGTGGCTCTATTCACATTTCTGTTAAGAGTAATAGATGAGGGGAAATAAACATTAATTTCATAAAGGGAAGAATACTTCCTTTTGGAAACCTCAGTCTGCATTTTACAAATATAATAAACATTATCTCAGCAACTAGATAGCTAAGGCAGTCACGCTGGAGGAAATCATGTCACCAACTAAGATAGCTAACTCAGTGCCAGGTTCAGAAAATTCAAATTTTAGTGGAAAATGCAAACAACTGGAATTTTACAACTGAGTCTGTATCTGAACAAGGGCAAGTACAATCGGTAAAAGAAAGATGCATTTCTGTTCTTTTCCTAAGCATTATTAAATATCCAGACATAAGACCCTAAGCCTCTTAGGATCATGTACAAGAAATAAAGCTGAGCCAAATAAAAAAGCCTCCCCCATGGGCACTGACCTTATCAAAGCACAAATGATACAGCAAAGAAGGCAGCAGAGGGTTCTTCTAATTCGAGCAATTAGTATTTAAACAATGTGTTGTTTCATGTTATCAGTTTGCTGCTTTTCTTGAGACCCTAACAGGGCCAGACTATTATTCCATGTTAAAACATGTTTTAAGAACCTATAAATGTTCTTAAGTAATTGTTTTCTTGTTTCACAGGTAAAGTTTATGTGAAAGAATCCTTTGCAAAAAGTTCTAAAAAACAGACTTTTAATTAGGCTGGGCCACTTACCTGCTGGCAAGACTGAGCAATTCATGTTTATCTGCTACAGCTGACTTCTTTTCAAGTTCCCACATTAAGACATTAATCAGATGTGAATTTTTAATTACAATCGGCACTTCTTCAAACATGTACTCAAAGGTGATATTTGCTTTTTTCAATCTGTGAAGCATGTTACAAATACTTTAGTCTGATGGTCAAAAGTAGGTGCTAAATTGACTATTTCATAACATTTACCTAATTACAGGTCCTGTCCAAGATCTTTGTTTCATTAGTACTCTTTTAAAAAAAAAAAAAAAAAGGCAGAGAAACTAGAGTTTTACAGAGTCAAGCATAAGTTTGAGTGATCTGAACAACTTTGAAAATGATCCAAATTTGAGCAAAAGCCCAGAAAATAAGATTCTTGGCAGAAGAAACCATTCTTTGTAATCAGGTATCTTTAAAATTTCATTAATACTAAAATGTAAATGTCACAGTAAGTTATGCTACACAACCTACATCTACAACTTAATTTAAAATAGCTAGAAATGAGAAATATTCTACTTCTTGAAAAGTGCATTTTAAAAGGCTACTGAATTAGAGATTAACAAAGCAGCAAAACACTCAAGGAGACTCCAGATACGATAGTTAGAACACGGCAAGAACAGTTTCTCATTGTTCAGTTATAACTACCACATCCAGGAATTGCTCATGAGTTAGCTTTTCTTTTAAAATTCTCTGCACCTTAACTTTTTAGGAGCCAAATGGGAAACTAGAGATGAACTGTCCTATATGAAGTCAAAGCCATTAATTTTGATTTAATAAGAAATAAAAATTTTCTATAATTAACACAAAATGGAATTCTAACTATTTAAAGTAAATATTACAATGTCATTAAATAGGATCCCAAAACAGCTCCATCAGTTAATTCTCTGCATACCTGACACCCATAAAATTTCCAATAAGCCACATTCTTTACCAAATACTTAAAATGTTTATATCTTTCCCAGCCCCCACCCCCAAACAAGAGTTCAGAAAGTAAGACACACAGCTCACAACTGACAGCTGACAACTGCTTACAACTGACACACGGCTTACAACTGACAGCCAATGATCACTCTTTCTATCTCCCTTTATTCAATCATTTATTTTTTCGAATCCAGTAGCTAATTCCCATTCTAACCGAATTCACCCTTGGTGAGAAAAGATGAGACATTCCCTAAAGAATAATTTAAACATGGAAGGGGAGAGAGCAAGCAGCACTCGGCACGCAGAAAACTTCTACAGTCCACATGGCAAAAGCATTACCACACCACAACTGAGGATTCAAGAGACGTGGCAAAGAAAAATCTTAAAAGAAAAATACCCAACCCTTTACCATATGCCCCCAAACACTTACGCTTCAGGGGAAAAATCCTTCTCTTTACAAACTTCCATCAGTTTAGGAGTCAGTCTGTATGCCTTTAGTGAGAGAGACCCTTGGGCAGTTTTTATGGGATCTCAAACAAGGAAAAGAGAAATAAATTACTAAGAATTTTGTCACTACCAAAATTGAATGGCATTGGTTCTAGGCACATTCTATTACGTATCACACAATCTTTGCAAAATAAAGATCAGAATAAACAACCAGAAAACAACTTGAAGCAGACTCAAGCCACTATAGCAAACAGTACTCAAAAATGCAGGAATACTTCTATTCTTCTTACAACAGAGTAACTTCCTCTGTCAAATAAAAACTGAAGATACAAAATGGTTATTTTCAAATTCATTCCTCAGCAAGAACCCGTAATCTTGCTGAAAATTAAATGCATCATATGTTCTAGACATCTTGTATAATTAGGAAATCACTGGTAAATATTAAACATGAAAATTCACTGCATGAACTTGGGTAGTTCTTCATTCAATTTAAAATGAATAGCCCTGCAAACAAAATTTATCCATCCTAATAATCACTATCCACATTTCTTAGTTAAAACAGATTGTGAAAACAAAACCATTAAAGTCAAACTGCTATCACAAATGTGTCTTTTTGGTTTTGGAGAAACTAATTTTGTCAAAACTAACCACTGAAACACTCCATAAGTAAGGGAGCTTAGCACTTGCTGCATGATAACGGCTCTGGCATGCCAATATTCGCCTAAAACCTGTGTTAACATTCATGTTGTCTGAAACTTAACACAGTGAAACTTTTAGCAATAGCTGATAAAATGAAAACCAAAATAGATTGAAACAAGTGGAAAATTCATCAAGGTCTGATGATGCAATGTTTCCAGCCAATATAAGTACACTTTAACAACTTGTTCTTTACTGTAATCCAATTGTTAACATACTGAAACAATTTTGGGGCAGCTCATAAGATTGATCGTATTCATTAGTATTTTTTCTGACAGATACTCAGGACGTTACATTTACTTCTCAGCTGGAAACTATATGCAAGTCTGCCAGATATGGCAAACTGTGAGTGTTTGGGGAGGGGGAAGGCTATAAAGCTGTTAAATTGCCTACAGTTCTGATACAGCACAGAACATCTGGTCTGGAGAGCTTGAGGAAACACCATTAAATAGGCCGAAAAGAAAAAAATCTTTGTGCTAAGAAACAGTCCAGGTTTTGTACGCTGTTGTCAGAGGTATAAAAAAAACTTGGCACACTGTATTATGATTGGTCAGTCACGTACAGAGCCAGACACTCTAGCAATCGAGGTTTGTTAGACATCTGGTCTAGTTCCACCAGCCCCTTCAATGAGGGAGGGGAGATGGAGGAATAAAAATGAAGCAGCTACTCCAGCATTCCAAAATGTACACATCAGGGCTCTGATAGCAAGAAAAATAAACAGAAAGAAGGAAACCCTGTCTAGACTGAGCTGCTGCTGAGGCTGCTGCAGAAACAGGGTTGGTATTTACTTGAGAAGCCGTGCCAGACTGCTCTTAGAGGCAAAAAAGACAGAAAGCAAAAATAGTAGTAATAATATTAAGGGAAAAAAAGAATAATAAAGAAACCTCCTACTAACCATAAATGAGAACGACAGATTCTTCAATGGCATGCTGGTAACTGAACTGAGAGTCCAGGAGCGCTCGGGTGACAAATGAGCCATAGTATGTGGACTGGTACCAGCCCACATGAAGATGATCAATGTTTACATGACGAAGGCTCCGCATCATTTCCATCTGATATTGGACTGGATGATGGGGAAGAGGAAATTAAAGGAAAAAACTTTTTAATGATGTTACCAACATTAAAAACAAGACTTTTTTAGAAACAAATGTCTACATACAATTTATTAGCAGTAAGAAACAGGATTCCAGATTTAAAACTCATTCAGTTCATATATAAAGAAAATAAAATTAGGCTTTTAAATCATCAGGGGTTTCCTTTTATTCTGTAATCAAAAAATATTTTGTAGAAAATGTATTACACATAATATTAATGCCTTGTTCTAACCAAATAATTATTAAATGTGGTTTCTACTCTGCTTCTGAAACTTTCAAAACAGTAAATGTTTAAGAAAAATCTGTATAATTACTAAATTACTTGGTTGTAACACGTTTCATTTGAATTAATAAAAGAGAGTTATTAATATCTTCTTCAATGCAGCTTTTAGAGCTGGGAAACTAAAACCATTAGGAAAACTAAGGGGAAACAATTAACTACCACATTGCTTATACATGAACTGGATATAGGCTGTAGCTGATTCAAAATATAAGAATACATTTCTGCCTTCATCTGGTGCCCCCTGCTGCATATGCTATATTTTTTACAGAATTATTTTTTCTTGTCTGTGTGTTCCTTTATGTTAAGTAACAGACACTATTTTTCCTTAGAATAGAGTTAAATTTTAACGACCATGTATACAATGAAAATGTTTATGACTTTTACCTTTGTCAAATTAATGACTACAATGCAACCTAATGACTAAAATGTATACTATATTAATTTAAAGAAGCATTACCAGAAAAACAGATTAAAACTAACAATATAATAAATGACGTTTTAAAAAGCAATATAGCACAATAATGCACAGCAAATACATGTAATACAGGAGAAAACTTTATAGTCAACACAATAGCCAAGCTATTCCTATTATTAATTATTATTATTGAGACAGGGTTTCACTTCTGTCTCCCAGGCTGGATGGCATGCTCTTGGCTCACTGCAACCTCTGCGTCCAGGGCTCAAGTGATTCTTTTGACTTAGCCCCCCAAGTAGCTGGGACTACAGGTGCGCACCCCTGCACCCGGCTTTTTTTGGGTAGAGACAGGGTTTCGTGACGTTGCCCAGCCTGGAAACTCCTGGGATCAGAGGATCCACCTGCCTCAGAATCCCAAAGTGTTGGGATTATAGGTGGGAGCCACTGCATCCAGCCCCAAACTATTTCTATTAAAACAAATACATGACCACGCTGAGTAAACGTATTTGCTTAACTTGAAACCTGTTTCATTTTCAAAATTCCTACTCAGGTTTTAGTAAAAGTAAAGTTATACATCTGTCCTTCTTTTGGTTATAGCACTATGGTTTTAGAAACCAACAAGACTCAGGATCATAAAGTACAAGAGTGTTCCTCAGATGGACAAAGCCTGATTTTTCATTACTTGCAGGCAAAGTTATAAATCTGCTTATTCCAAGGAAGGCTACGGTTATCATGCTAAAAGATGGCAGTCAACTCATCAACTACTCAAGAATAGCGTGGTTTTTTTGTTTTTTGCAAGAATTGTGTGTTTTTTGAGGGTTTTTCTGTTTTTGTTTTGCTGTGTAGAAAAGCTTAAAAAAAACCCAAAAAACCAAAGTTATATTGCCATTATCTGCAGAGGCTTTCTTAAGCCTATGACAATGTTGCAACAGAGCTGGAAATTGTACTACTGTCAAGATGTACACAGCTTACGTGCCTGTTTTGAAAGTAGGGTCATTCATTCATAAAGAGGAAAAAATAGTGTTAATATAGAGGAGGTTAAGCTAGCATAATTTCTTTTGTTGTTTGTTTTTAAGAGTATAAGGGAGAAGGTGTTACTAATACATTAGACACTTTACATACAAACCAGTGTTTCTGTAATATTTATGAATAAAATACAAAAACAAAGTCATATAACCTATGCTATACTTTAAACCACCATTAAAAACATTACTACCTTAGAAATCTATTGTATACAAAACACCACAGCCTGAAAAAGCAGTATAAAATACGGTAATCTTACGTCGATTATTTTTTATCTTCATATTTTATTTCTCTAGCATACAAAAGGAACCTCACCTCCCCACAACTAGTTTAACAGAGTCACATCAACCACATAAATTTGGAAAGGACAGAATGACTGCTATGATTTCCTTTTATTTTGAAATTCCATAATTATTTAAAATCAAAGTAAAATCACTGATTTGGCTAATAAATTTTAATCAAATTTAATTCACAAGTGAAAATCCCAGTATTATAAGTAAAACAGGAGCTGAAACTAAATTTGCTATTTCAAGAGAAACGGAAGAGATGAGGAGAGATTATCAAGCAACTGACAGAACAAGATTAAAAAAAAATTTTTTTTAATCAGTACTTGCAAAATATGTTCATATACAATTTAGCTACAATATAAGCAGAGGTTAGAGCCTGCCAACTTATAATAGCAGAAAAGAAAGACTTGGAATCTAAAGATTGAGGTTCTCATGCCAGCTCTGAGATTTCCCCTGTGAGTATCTTGCTGTACAATTAATAATAATTCTCTGATATTTAATTTTCCCATCTCCAGAGAGATCTGAGAACTCAATCCCAGTCTAAATGCTATTATTTCACATTGTTCACTGGATATAATAATTATAAATAATGAATTTTCCATTAGCTAAAGGGCCTCCAAATTGCATTATGATTTAAAATAAAAATACATTCCTCTGAAAAATATTCTGTAATCTTGCTAAGTCTCTCCTCAACAGCCTGAATACAAGAGATTCTATAACAGCATTTCAGGATACATGAGGTAAAGACTCAAAGATCTGTAGCAAATTTCCAAATTTCTTCTTTATCCAGAGTCTTACCTATTAGCACCTTTAATAAGGATAAGAATAAAAATGTAGTGTTCCTCTAAACTAGGAAAGAAAGTCAACAAAGTCTATAGCCGTGTGGAGATACCACTGCCCCAACATATTTCTGGGGACTGAGGAGTACAGAGATCAGCTTCTTTATTAGGAGGAATGAGGGGAGCATTTCCATTTCCTCTTCCATGGCTTAGAATACGACATGAAAGATTTTGCAGGACTTTGGACACATTCATAAGTCATAAGAGTTTTCATATCACCTAAATATCTTACATGAATATAAAAATAAAGGGGCTAACAGCAATGATTGGTCAATTAAGAAAATCACTTTAAAAATCTACAGTGCACTGGAATTTCACTAAAAAAAGTATGCGTTGGACCTAATCTATGTAAAGTGCCAGGACATTCTCTTTCTTGGTTTGGACTTAGCACTCCAATTTTAAATTTTAAAATAAAAACAAAAAAAACCAAAACTTTTTTAAAAGTACCCTCTCAGGGGCACCATATAAGGAAAGGACCTAAACAGACTACAAGTCAGTCTTTAAAAGGTGGGGCTGTGGATGCAAGAGCTCCAAAATGAACCACAGTGCACAGAGGCCCAGTTTTCAGCATGACTGCTCATATGAAGCTCCAACAAACGCCATTTGTTTGAAAGGAGCTCACTTTGATTTAATAAGGTAAAAAAATAATCAGTATTACTGCTTCTGTTTATTATAAGCCAAGGAACAATAGACACAACTCACAAACAACTAGTGAACTGCATCATCTCTGCAGATTTTCAGGTCTGTGTCCCCCCTCTTTGAATTCCATCTCCTTTCACTGACAGTTTCTCTTCCTCTTCCCATGCAAATTTTCAAAAAGTAGAAAACCAACTCCTGCAAAAGTTTCCTGGTAAACCTACGTAGGGATACGAAATGAACAGCAAACTGTCCCACTGACCTGTCTCGAAACCCTGCTCCTGGCAGGCACCATCAATGGAACTAAGCTGCCACAGCAGCTGACACATATTTACCCCTCTGGCCTATGGTAGGGACAAGGGAACAATCGTGAAATGGTGACATGCCAGTTAAGTTTTACACAGGAAATAGGAATGGTCGTTCCAGATTCCAATCTCCTTGGTGAACACCCTTGTTTGTAGCTACACTAGTTTCTCTCAGGAGTGGTGTGTAGATAAGGGGAGCACAGGAGACCCAGTTTAGCTACAACATAGGTAAATGAGGGAGGAGAGAAGCCTCTGCATATCTGGAAGTGGCTTGTGATGATGATGTCATGTCGTAGCCCACAGGCTCTGGTGACTAGGAGGTACTGCTATTTGCCTCCTCATATTCAGCCAGTCCTCATTTTTCTGGATGGAGTTTTAAATGGAGGGTATAAAAGACAGAAAAAAGGCTCAGGAATGGCTCACACCTCAGAAGGAAGAGAATCATGTCCAAAGAAACTAAAGGAAAAAGGAGGAGGAAAAGAAAAAAAGAGGCTCCTTGACACACAGTGCCAAATGCCTACTGCTGTGTTAATACAGATCAATGAAGAAACAGGCACTGCTTGGCAACTTTGCAGAGTTGGTCCAGGGTTAGACAAGCTTCAATTTTTTGTTCTAAAGTTCTCATATTTAACAGAAGTCAAAAATCGCAATTTCAACCAACGACATTCTCTTCTGAGTTAATGTCTAAATATTCCTGGAGAATTTCCAAAAGATGAATGGCAAGAGAATAATCCTCTTGGGAGAGAGAACTATTTTAAAATTCATAATGTTTAACAGAAGGACTTAGTAGGAAAGAACCTTTTAGGTATTCTTAGTGCAAAAGGCAAGCATCCTCACTGAAGAGAAGTAGTATGAAACACATAAATTTCAAAGACAAACTGGTTGGCTGGGCTTGGTGGCTCACGCCTGTAATCCCAGCATTTTGGGAGGCCAAGGCAGGTGGATCACTTGAGGTCAGGAGTTCAAGACCAGCTTGGCCAACATGGTGAAACCCCGTCTCTACTAAAAGCACAAAAATTATCTGGGCATGGTGGCAGGTGCCTGTAATCCCAGCTACTTGGGAGGCTGAGGTGTGAGAATCGGCTGAACCCAGGAGGCAGAGGTTGCAGTGAGCTGAAACCACGCCACTGCCCTCCAGCCTGGGCAACAGAGCGAGACTCAGTCTCAAAAAAAGAAAAGAAAAAAAAACAACAACAACAAACCGATCGTTACTATGAAACCAACTCAAATTACTAATGCAAAAAGCCTCACTTGGTTGCAGTTGAGTTGATGCTACAAAATTTGGAAGGATTATAATAATGAAAAGTTTTATAAAGCTCTTCAACTTCTGCAATTGTTTTAATTGGTAAGCATGTTCCAAGCAAAGGAAAGCCTGCTATACAACAATGAATAGCTGCTCAAAGTTTGGCACCAGTATATTCACATTCAGTTTTTCCAGATACCCTCTTTGCAAAACAGTCCATTTTAAAGTCCCGAGAGCTAAAACTGTGTTAACTGAGGCAGACTGTCCAATAACTATCCCTTTCAAACATCAACCATCAACCAGCATATTATTTTCTGTGTTTTCATATGAGAACACTGAAAATAATATGTCTTATATTTAAATGTTATACTGTATATATCTGGAGTTACACTGGCAACCAACCAAACAAGAGTATGAGATTCAAGTGCTCCTGAAGATCACTGGAAAGGACAACAGAGTAGAAGCTTTTCAGTTCGGCAGAATAATTAACCAGCATTCTTCTTTCAATTCATCCTCACTTTTAAAAAAAATCATCTTTTTGATTGTATTATTTAAAGTGAGCCCTCATGAAATACAACTTCTCACTGAAAAACAGGAACAAAGAATTGCCCCTGATGGATAGCCTGGGATGAAGAGAAAGTAGAAAATTAAAAATGGAGCCTATTCAAACTAGAAAACTCAAGATATGTCCAGCAGATCAAGAAAGAGGAAGTTTTTTGGAGATGTGTTATTAGGGAAATCATAATAAACAAGGTCATTTAATTTCTAAAAATTAAAAACAATTTAAGAACCTACCATCTAATATTTGATGACAATATTTTATCAAATAAATCCAAATTATTTTAAAATGTAATAAAGTTATTTCTAAAATAAACATAGCCTGTAGGGAAAGAGTAGAGCTAGGCACAAAGAAAGAAACTACCACTTAGTGATCACTTATTATGTCAGACTTCCTGCTAAGTGTTCTACATGTGTTATCTAACTTTATATTCCTCACAATAACTCTAATGAGCTAATCATGATTATTGAAATCCTTTTAGAAAAGCTGTTTACCATAGCTATGACTTCATACTCTAACTCCAAAAGCTAGCCAGACACCCATTTAGAGAGCCTCATCACTGCTTATTGATGAAGTATATAGTAAATTATTTCTGAATCACTGAAGCATAGCACAAATACAAGAGAAATATACAACAAATTTCTAGGTTTTCAGAAAACCACATCTTGTGTATATCTGACATTAAATTAACCAATAATTTAGTACTACCAGTACAATTTTAAGTGATGAAATTACCATCAAATATTTTAAAATACTACGGTTGATAATTATCACAAATACATAATCAAAACCTTAAAACACTGCATTTTAGATACTATTTGAGGCTTGTGCCATGACTATTTTGTAAATACATACTGGCTTAAATCAAAGATGACCTATACAGGTATACAGAGGGAACAAACAGAGACCCGATCTAGTACATGTTCTTCGCAGCAAAAATAAAATAAAATAAAATAAAATAAAATAAAATAAAATAAAGCTCAATCAGGAGATGCAAATGGCTTAAAAACAAGCAAACAAACAAAATCCCACAATTTCTCAGAAACAAACCAATGATTTCAACAAATACGACAGGGAAGTGGAATGCATAAAAATCTCCTATCTGTTCTGGCACAAGAGCTAACCAAAGCAGGACTTGTAAGAATATAATTACAGGCTCCCTTCCCAGCTGCAACATAGGACACCAGTGAGCACTAGGCTGTGAACAGTGAAGGCTCTGTGCCATTATTTAGCAAGACAAACTTTATTCTGTGCTTTCCTCTTCATATCAGACTTTTTGCCAAGCTGCACATACGTTTCAGGCAATGTTCAAAGCTACTAGCAGATGCAGACTTAAGCAAACAGAATGTGCATTTGAAAAAAGAAATAAGAGTCTACTTTGGGTAGAAAGAATTATGGAGTATACAAATTTCTTAAAATTTCCATATTCTCTGTACCCAGTTTGTAGCACATATTCATCTCTTGTTTTGATTAATACATGTTATTAATACCACCCTTTGTCTGCTTAAAAATTTTAGTTCAATTTTCACAATAAAGTGTCCAATATAAGTTCTATTCTACCTAGATACTAATGTGTTGTATAGTAAAAGAAGTAAAAAAAAAATATATATATATACTGCCTTTCTTAATAATCTTACAGAAATATTTTTTAAAAATCACGTGTGGTTTAAAGTCTTTTTTAACGTGTTTATGAATTCTGAAAAAATATTTTTTTGAATGCCAGGCTGGGGGATAATGGAATAGGAATAGGGTGCGGGCAGGCACTGACACCCTAATTTATCTTTAAAACTAGTAAGAACTTTGACAATTATTAGAAATCTGGCATTTTGAGCTTTTACTGTGTCTCAAAATATCTTCTACGAAATAAATTGGATTCTTCACACAAAATAACACATACATCCTCTAACAAATTTACATTATCTTTTTAACCAAATCATGAAACAAAACCATGTGATCGTATTTCTTTGAGGTTATAAGAATCTGAAATACATAAATACATTTGTTATGAGAAGCTGAAATATATAAATACCTTGGTCATGAAAACACATACACATAGTGGATAGTAAGAGAGCCATCAGGAAGTTAATTGTATATCATTTGAGATGTGTTTATAGAAAGAAAGTGAATTTACCTGAAGGATTCACCATGAAGAACTCTCATATAAAGAATAGCTTACTAAAATGAAAGGCCAGGCGTGGTGACTCATGCCTGTAACCCCAGCACATTGGGAGGCCAAGGCAGTCAGATCACTTGAGGTCAGTAGTTCGAGACCAGCCTGGTCAACATGGTAAAACCCTGTCCCTACTAAAAATACAAAAAATTAGCCAGGTGTGGTGGTGCATGCCTGGAGTCCCAGCTACTTAGGAGGCTGAGGCACAAGAATCGCTTGACCCTGGGAGGCGGAGGCTGCAGCGAGCAAAGATCGCACCACTGCACTCCAGCCTGGGTAACAGAATGAGATTCGGGGTTGGGGGAGGAACAAACAAGAAGAAGACCAAATGAGAATCTTTTAGTGTTAGGCAAGAAAATAATTTACACTGTGTAACAGGCTCTTTCATGAGGACAAGCAACAGCTCTTGTCATATTTCCAGGTACTAGATTAATGTTAGCACAAAGGTACAGAAAACATTCCCAAAGGATGGAATATTTCAAAAAAGTGATTGTTGCTAACGTACTAGAGAAAGTCACTACTGGGAAACTACAAATGTGTGTGCACGCACCTGTGTGCATGTGTGCACACTCTGCCCCAAACCCTAAAATGAAATTTTCAGGTGGAGCTTCAATGACAACTACTTTAAGAAGATATTCCTGGCCGGGCGCGGTGGCTCAAGCCTGTAATCCCAGCACTTTGGGAGGCCGAGGCGGGTGGATCACGAGGTCAAGAGATCGAGACCATCCTGGTCAACATGGTGAAACCCCGTCTCTACTAAAACTACAAAAAAAAAATTAGCTGGGCATGGTGGCGTGTGCTTGTAATCCCAGCTACTCAGGAGGCTGAGGCAGGAGAATTGCCTGAACCCAGGAGGCGGAGGTTGCGGTGAGCCGAGATCGCGCCATTGCACTCCAGCCTGGGTAACAAGAGTGAAACTCCGTCTCAAAAAAAAAAAAAAAAAGAAGATATTCCTGTTATAGAAAAATCATGTTTGATTTGCCTTTCCAACAAATTCTGTTTCTACTGTAAAACAAGGAGAGAATGACCTCGAGTACTTTTCAAAACACAGAAAACTGTTTGTACAATTTTACAAAAAAAAAATAAATAAATAAAGGAATAACAAAATGAATAATAGGTTTGTTCTGTTAGAAACAATCTGTAAACTTTCTATACTGTAATTAGAATACAGAAAGTAGAAACTGAAGCAGAGGCAGAGACCTGAACCAAGTGAATCAGGCCATGGATACTGATTAAAACATACAAATTTGGCTCCAAGCCAAATCAAAGCAAAAGGAAAATATGGTCATTCATATCCAAAGGGAGACAAATATCAGATCTTAAAGTAGGTAAAACATTTCCTAGTACTTAACCCTAAATGAAATTACCTTAACCCCAAAATGAAATTTTTATGTGGGGCTTCGATGAGAACTATTTTAAGAAGACATTTCTGTTATAGAAAAATCATGTTTGATTTGTCTTTCCTGTAAGTTTCAGTTTCTACTGTAAAACAAGGAGAGAATGACCTCGAGTACTTTTCAAAACAACGAAAACTGTTTGTACAATTTTATTTTTAAAAAAACGGGGGGGGGGGGTGGATAACAAAATGAATTAATAGTTTCATTCTGTTAGAAACAATCTGTAAATTTCGAACTCCTCTTGTTTAAAAAACAGAATGGGATATATCAGAAGTGAGCACTAAACATCCAAAAGAGAACAAATGATCACTTTTCGGAGGTACTGTTTGTAGTGGACACACAAAAGTGTGGTGATAAATGATCCACAGAATCACATTGCTTTATTTGTTCCGAAACCATTTACTGGTCACTGCTTGCACTAGGAGGCCTGATAACGCTATAGTGACCTCATCTAAAAGATACCCTCTTCAATATGGTTGCACAATGAACCGGTGGCAGTTAACTCATTTGTCTCTCTAGACCTTAATTTCCTCACCTAGGAAATAAGTTTCAACTTCCAAACACATGATGACGGCAATTTAGAAAACTTTGCTGTAAGCCCATGGGTTCTTTGCTTAATGAGCATTTTCAAAAGTCCCATAGGTACCACACACCATAAAGGTATAGACTGACTTTATTAACCCTACTCTCCAACTCTGCTGCTTCTGTCTTTTCTCCCTCAGTTAGACTTTGTGCCATCAGTTTTGACTACTTCACCACCACTGGGCTTATAACAGTCAACTACCTTCTTGAGTAGAATTTATTTTCCTCAAGGCAAAATTCATTTAGAACATTTCCAAAAATTTTAAATGGCATGGGAAAATGCTCATGAGGTGCTAAGAGAAAAAAGCAGAATATAAAACTATGAACCGTATATTAATGCCAATATGTAAACAATGTGGACTCTCCTCCTAAGTAGAAAGAATGGAAAGAAATATGCTAAAATGGTAATGGAATAGTTCTCCAGAGAGTGAGATCATACAAGGTTTTTCTTTCTTATTTACTCTTACCATCATTTTCCCTTTTTTTTTTTTTTTTTTGGCAAAAGAATTATTCAGTGCATACAATGTTAAAGTACATACATACATACAGATGCAGAAGTTTCCTACTGCTGGACAACTTGCTGATTTTCCCATGGTCACCTATAACCTGGTTCCTAGAGCTCTTAAACTGTGGGAGCAGGAAACAGTACAGGGTACTAGACTACTCTGAATCTGGAGCACCTAACCTGGTCTGAATAACATCTTTACCACACAGTAATTGTGTGACTGGTGACAAATTAACTGGACTCCTCTGTGGCCAGAAAAGGAAACATGGGGAAAGTGGGGGATGTGGGGGGTGGGGCAGCACAAAACTGTCTACTTCATATAGTAGTTAAGATTAAACAAAATCATTTACACAACAGCTTTGTGCACTGGAAACCTCAGGAAGAGTTCAAACACTTACCACCATCACCTATTATACAGAAATGTTGCTTAGAACATGGGTACTTTGGTACTTATCTGGGTCAGAAGGAAATGTTTATGTAGAATAGGACTGGATTAACTTGGTCTCCATGGAGTGTTATGCAAGCTCCCCTTTTCTCATCTCCATACTGGTGAAGGGGAAATCAAGAAAATGGTGGGGGGGGGGGGGACTGCAAATCGTATGTGTCACTACAAAAATCAAAGTCTATGCATTTGTGACATTCATGTCATGAAACAGAATTCATATATACAAATAGGAATATGATCAAAAAACAATCTACCATGAAAAAAAAAATACTTCTAAGATACTAAAAACGCTAAGCTAATTATATTCAGTACAATAAAGAACAGATTCAATAAAGAAAGAGACAAGCTACAGAAATTAGATTTCAAGAAAAGGTAATCTTGGGTGTTCTATTATTACTGTGCATATAACAATATAATTGCATTGTATCATATAAGTTTCTATCTCCTGATTCCATTTATAACTCTTCCAAAGAGAGAAAATAAGCTTCCCTCCCCCATCCCCAACAGGTGACTTTTAAAAAAAGAAAAACATTGAGAATGGGGCTGTGGATGGGAAGGAGGAATGAGCAGTAATGCCAGCTTACTCAGGGGACTAGGTAAAGGCTATCTGGAAATACTGCCCACCCAAGTGAATGGCTAAACTCCGTTAAACATAGCAAACAGCTTTATGATACACCGTACATTGCTTAGTAGAAGGGTCCACTCCAGCAACCTCAACTGCCCAAAGATGAGCTTCCTTTACCTTCAAACATCAGGATGATTTGGATTTTAAAAAACAGTATTAAAGATGTTACAAAAGAAAGCCTGCGGAATGTAATTTTTGAGGACTATCTTTAACTGCAACCTAAGAATGGAAACTGACAGAAGTTACAGAAAAGGTTAGGAAGAGCAAATCATTTCCTATGGTTTAGTTAAACCAGAAAAACAGAAGTTTTTACAGCCACACACTCCATCCATCCTTTCTTGTCCTCACTTCCTCAGCTCTTTCCCTACACACTCTGCTTTGTCCAAACACTTTCGTAGGATAGGAAATACAGCATTCCAAGCTAAGAAAAATGATCAAGCAGAAACCTTCATGGCAGCCCATGATAAACGACAAATCTGAGGTTAGGAACCTCTGGTTTACTTTTAAATGGGACCATGTTATATTTCCTGTTATGACAATATCTAACCCAGGAATCCTTATCCCGGGATTTCAAGGCATCTGTGAATTTCCCATAATAATATGTATACGTACTACTGTGGAGACAGTCCAAAGCTTTCACCAAATTCTCTAAGGGGCTCAAGATCTAAAAGAGGGTAACAAGTATTGAGATGCAATGGAGAACAAGCCGAATGTGCTCCTGAAACTCCCACTGCTTCATAAGTATGTGGGGAGAATGCAGAGGTAAGGCTAGGTGTGGGGCAGTTATCAATCCAGTTCCGGGGCAGCTACGGAATAGCATAGATCAGTACTGAGATCACCAAAGATGCACTATCAGGACAAGTATGAATCACAGACGACAGGTTCAGAAAAAACTCCAGCTTTCAGCAGAAGAACCAACAGAATGTGACGGTTACCCTTGCCCTTGTTCTACCAACAACACAAAGTGCATCATGAGGGAAGATGGATGGAAGCTTCATCTAACTACTCTGTGATCCAGACTATTACTTTCTAAGATGGAAAAAAAGAAAAAGATGTGCATGTCCTTACCCACCAGGTGATAAGACCAGAGACTTCTACATTTGAGAAGAATACACATTTACAATTTGGGGGAAAGCTAGTCTCTAGCAAAAATATCACATTATCACATTATTGAAATACTCAGGACAAATTTTATTCTATGTTAGCAATGTGCCTTAGATGTAAATAGCTCTACAGTCACATACTAAAGACTAACTTCGAGCACCAGCAATCCTGTTACTTTCTGAAGTTTTTACACACAGATCTCTTCAAGTCGTAACTGAGACTAACCTTTTCAGCTGTCATTATATAATCTGAAGCTCATGAAGATACTTTCCTATGAAGGGTCACTAGGATTAGAGAGGAAGACGAAATACAGTGTATGAGGTGGGGAGAAGTAAAAAAATATTGGAAGGTAAAAATATTTCTACACAAACATGTCCGAAGGCTACAAAACAGACCAAACAATTATCTTCTGCAATTGGCAAACATCTCCTGCCAGATGTTTAAAATAGAATTAACTTCTATGGGCTACACTGATAGAAATAAACTGTACAACTATAAATAAATAAACATCTAGGAAAGCATAAATAACTGTCTAGGGAAGGAGTATCTTTGTTTTACATTTCCTAAACTTGTTTCAGATTATTTGTCATCCCCCAACCCAGCACAAAAACTGTCCTCCAATGTAGTATTCACTGATACTAAGCCAGCAGTGTATCCCAACGCTTTTGAGAATGTGTCAAAGGCAGACCAAACAGTATCTTCATAGGGAGCTAAGTTTAAATAGAGTATCTGCAATGTTTCAAAGCATTTCAACCCAGGTAATAATATTACCTTAACAACAACAAAATCTCCCTTTTCCTTGTCGAAAAGATTATTATGTTCAGTTAGACCAACGCGTTAAATGGCTTACATGCTTTCTCCTTATATTCTGGAAGAGAAAAATCTGAAAGAATGAATTCATGCGTTCATTCCCATGACAATTATTTATTCTATGCTCTAATTGTGCCAGACCTTCTAGGTGCTGTCCAGCATAGGGTAGTAAAGACAGAGAAAGCTCCTGCAGCTGACATCATACTGTAGAGGAGCAGACAGGGCACACAGGCTGACAGTCAGCATTTTTGGGTCTATTCAAATGCTTAACGTTTGTTCACTAAAGAAAATAACTGGGTAATCCCACAGAGTTCTCCACACCTTTAAATTGAATAAACTATCTCTGTCAAGAACCACCAAAAAAATAATCAAGCTTGGAAGTCAAAGTCCTGGCTTCATACCTTGCAAAAAAAAATACAGAGTAAAAGAATAGTTGCACGATGGGAAAACAGAAGACTTGAATTGCAATTTTGGCTCTGCTATTACATACAACAAAACAAAGCAGAGAAAAACCTTCCCAAAAGCTAAATGCCCTTAAAAATATAGTTTAAAAAGTAACCTAATTTTTAATTTATCCCAAATCAAAAAATTATCTGGTTTAATATTTATTACAATGATATGGAAACAAAACAGTAAAACAGCAATGAGTATCCTTGTTAGGTGAAGAAAGCTAACATTTTAAAACAGTTGAAGCAGGGATCAGATAAAAACCTGCCATGAATAAAATTCCACGTGTTTCTCTGCTAAGTTTTGATACTAGAATCAATTATCTCTACTGTCTGTTCAAAAACTAATATTCCACAGAGATATGTGGAAAAAGCTAGTTTCACTAAAAATATGATCTAGAAATCCTAATAACCTGAAAGGAACAGAAAATAAAAATAAGACTCACAACAGGCCAGGTACAGTGGCTCACGCCTATAATTCCGACACTTTGGAAGGATGAAGCAGGAGGACTGCCTGAAGCCATGGTTTTGAGACCAGCACAGATAACATAGCATCTTTACCAAAAAAATTTAAAAATTAGCCAGGCATGGTGGCTACATCCCTGAGATCCTAGCTACTCAGGAGAATGCAGTGGGAGGGTCACTTGGGCCCAGGAGTTTGAGGCTGCAGTGAGCTATGATCATGACACTGCACTCTTGCCTAGGTCACAGAGCTAAACCCTGTCTCTTAAAAAACAAAAAACAAACAAACAAACAAAAAACTTGAAACAGTGGTCAATGGTCAGGAGAGGGGGAATAGCAATAAGAATCACAATTTAAGAAATGACAAGATTTCTAGTGTAAAGATGACACCAAAGAGCTATGTAGTTTCACCATACAGAAACCTGGCCTCAGGCTACTCTAAAAATGAGGGGGAGGCTCAAAAGGTTTCATTAGATTTTCCTCCCAACACTTTAATTTTAATTCAGACAAACAAGCATTTATCATTTGCAGACCCTTTAACAGACATATGGTACTCATGAAATCCACTGAGTTCACGTTTTAAAAAGTTATCCCAATCTTAATAAAGTTTTAATAAAATTACAAAACACACACACACACACACACACACACACACACACACACACACGAAAAACTGCTGTGTGCCAATGACAGGAACAAAGATGATTTGTACCTCTCCCCAGAGTTTCAACACAGCCAGGAGGCAATGGCTTGCACTACAGGTTACATGTCTAGAAAGCTTATTTTCTTGATTTCTACTAACTTAGAAGCTGTTTACTCAGACTTTTAAGACATCGGCAAAAGCAGTAGGCATTTGGTCACTGTCGGAGGATCCTAGATATATAAACAAAATAGAGACTCCAAAATTAAATTTCACACTAAATGTCTACAAAACATACTATATCTAAAAATTAATATTTCAATTAGGAAAATTATGGGGATTCAATTCTAATCCTTTAAAGCTCTGGAAGCTATTCATATCAAACTGTGGTATTTAGATGTGGTTTTCAAAAATATGCCAACAATCTCATCAATTTCTTCCTCTAATAAAATTATCAAGTCTTAGTAATAACATCTTACTAACTCCAGTATCATAGCCTCAATGTTAAAAACTGTGATATTTTTGCTCAGAAATAATACTGTCAAGTTACCCAGGAAACTATTTGTTTAGCTAACCATGCCACTCTGACAAATTATTTATAAAAATAGAAATAGCTTTATTGGTATTAACTATGTCACAAAGAAGGAGTAAAATGCAATCTCTTCTCTCATGTCAAAGATTCATGCAAGCATCTTTCTCTTCATAGGCAGTATGGAAAAGCAGGGTCAACCTAATATCATGCCACACGTTTCTCATTCATCACACTGTAAAGATGAATACTTAAAGGTGGAAATTTTAAATGTTATTTTGACTACTTCCACAATGAATTAAGATTAGAAAGCATAATAAATTATTTCATAAAGCCCAAGATTCTACTGAGTATAAGAAGGAAAGAGGTTGGCAATATTAATTCTAAGACATTATAGATTAACAGATGCATCCCAATTTCATAGAGTTCAGGTGCAAAAAAAAGAGACCTGGGGGTGGAAGTGGGGGTGGGGGTGGGCAGGGGATTCTAAAGCAGATAATGCTGTTCCCAGCAAATGAAGTAGTGGACAGGTAGGTACTGTGGTAGCAATATCCTTTTCTTGATGCACAACTGCATTCTATCAGATGCACTCTATCCATCCCACTTTTTCCTATGTCATAACTCACAACATAATTATTAAACAGAAAGTCTCTTCCCTTGAATCATGGATTTTCCATTATGAACAACAACAACAAAAACAACACCTAGCACCTCTCCAAACAAGAACACACATGCTCAGAATGAATACTCCTGTGTGTACAGATCAACTACGAGGCTGAATACCTAGTCACATGCACAATTAAAAAAAATGCTTTTGCATATTGTATGTGACTGATATTAACCAGTATTATCCAACAGTCATTATGTAAAGGAAATATAAATACTCTACTTTCTTTCCAAATAATATTTGTCAGAGACTTAAAGTAAGTCTGCAATAGCAAGACTTATGCTTTTTTGTGTTAAAAAGAAAAAGTGCTACTTTGAACGATGCTACTATAGTTGGTACTCTTGACCATCTTTAACAACAAGATTCATTATTTTTGCAAATAATCCTTTGGAAAATATAAAATATCTCATTTTACATCTATCCTCAAAAACTTTATTGATTTATAAAAAAAAAAGTATTCGTAACTCATTTTCAAATCACTTTTTGATGGCACTGTGCTACCACTTGATAAAGTCATATGACTCAAGAAACCAATAAAACCTATTTTCAGACATATATCATTGTAATTCCTGTTTACACTCTTTTCCTATTGTCTGTGTAAATCATCCCACTTCTAGATTCTTATTCCCAGTATATACAGATCCACATTCCATTTTGACCAGAATTTCCCAACCTGGCCACTAATGATGACATTTTAGGTAGCTAATTTTTTGTTGTGGAGGACTATTATGGGCATTGTGAGATGTTTCACAATGCCCTGGCCTCTATCCTCTACATGCCAATAATGAGCACACACACAACTCTTCCCAAGTTGTGACAACCAAAAGTGTCTCCAAACACCTCCTGATGTCCTCTGGGGAGTAATCCCCAATACCCCTCCAGCCCTGAACACTGATTTAAGCAGTGAAATTCTGCTTAAATGTCAGATTTAATTTTGAATTTTTATTCAAAGAAAACAGTGCTATGTTACTATTTTTATGATTGATCCACTTTTGAGAGATTATAACAAGGAGAATGAAACATCTGAAAGCAACAAAATATCTGATTGATATAAAAATGTTAACTAAAACAAACTACCCTATTAATTGAATATTATCTAACACATGCTAATCAACTTACTATCTTTATAGTACACATTCAACCTTGAAAAACTTATTACTAAGAACATAAAAAAGCATTCTAGAAAACGCACAACCGATCTTACACTTCAATGTGTAAAATGTACATGAATAAGACTGTTTCAATGCCTCATCCTCTGAAAACATCAAAATATGAGGATGTTTTAGAAAGTGAAGGCGATGTTAAAAAAAAAATTAACTGCTATTTTAAATACTAAGTATTCAACCTAATTGACTACATGGAAATGTGATATAGGCCCAGGAACATGGAGGAACCTTTAAATTAAGATTAGATAAACTAACGACAGATACATACACAGTTAAGATCTTGAAGCTGGTTGTCAACTTTCGCAATTATGACTTCTCATAAAACTTGTCTCTTGTTACAATACTATTTACTAATACTAATGAGAGAAAAAATACAAGATGGGGAAGACAATGTATTAGTCTGTTTTTATACTGCTATAAATAACTGCCCAAGATTAGACCGTGTAATCTAAAAAGGAAAGACATTTAATTGACTCACAGTTCAGCACGGCTGCAGAGCCCTCAGGACACTTACAATCATGGAAGAAGACGAAGGGGAAGCAAGGCACCTTCTTCACAAGGCAG